TTGCACGAAAGCTTGCCTTTAAAATTCTGCCAAACCATCACATGCTCCTTTCCCATGAGAAGTAGCAAACAAATTCCATTCCGCGTCCACGTTGAAATCTTTTTATGATTTATTAAATTCACAAAATTATACTTATTTTGTACTGAGAAGCAGCTCGTCCGAAAATAATAAATCCTTTTTATTTTATCCGCTCCAAACTTATTTTTAGAAATTTTATCAATTTAAAATTGAAAAGGTGAACTGAGCTCGCGTCGTGACAAACTTTTTCCGAAATTACCACGTAGTTTATATGTTTCATTTCTTCATTTTCTCTATAGTACACAACGTAAGAATGAATTGTAGCCTGACTGGTATTCCAATGATGAGATTGGATGGCATTTTGAACAGTAAAAGTATAATTTTCAGAAAAATCAAGGCAAACGATAAATTCTCCATCCTCAACAGATTTTTTCTTGTCAGTAAAATATGACGCTTGAGATCGTGCAAGGAAATCATGTCTCAACAATTCAGGCCATTTTTGTCTTAAATCATAAAGAAAATCTTCTTTGTCTTCGTTTCTTCAATGATTTCAGTTCTAAAAATTCAAAATAAATTAACTGAATAAAATAATAATAAAAAATGGATAATCAAAGAATTAACAATTTAAACATATAAAATCTAATAATTTCATTATTAATATGTAGATTGCGTAACAAAATATAAGAATTACTCAGTGGCGTGAATATAAAAATTATTGATGACAATAATTACAAAAATTTTAAAGAAAGGAGAAGATTTGAGTGAAAATTTCTTTACCTATCAGTACTTTTCCATTGGCTGTATGTAATTTCATTTATTTTATGGTTATTAAGCAATAGTTCCAATTTGTTTATAATACTATCACTTTCTGGACACTTAGTACACTTTGAAAAGTAACACAATGATGCAGACTCTTGGCAAACAGAGCTTTTAATTAATCATTTGAGCTTTCTGAAATAATTGTCCCTCTTTTTTAATTCATTTTTAAATCCAGCTAATTGCAATTTGAAATTTTGATGGATTTTACACACACACATTATGAGTTCCACTTTTGCCAGCAGATATACATTCCGAGGTCGGAATTTTGAAATTTGGATAGTCCAATCTTTTCGTCAGGATAAGCTTCTTTAAATTTTTGTGTATTTCGTGACATTATATAATAATAGTCGTTTTTTGTTTTGGATTTTCTTCCCATTTTCAATCACCGAAACATAATCTTTCATACCAGGCATTACGCGGCTGACATCATCGGATAGATAGAAAGCTTCAATACGATCGAGGGTTTCAATGTTTAGAGATCTACTCTCTTAATCATAGGTTGCGATGCGAATCCTCGTTCTTGTCGTATTTTTTTGCAGTTCTCACCATTCGTTGGAAACTTTAAACTCTTTCCTTATCATTTTAATCGACCAATCTGTAGGAAGCGTAGTCAAAACCTGAATTTTATCAGCTCTACTAGTTTTACCATTGAAAGCAGATTTAAAGTTATTAGTAAAGGATGTTTTATATAATAAAAAAAATATGGGGTAAAAAGTATGGATTTTTATACTTAAAGAATAGGAAATTCCAGTTAAAATTTGGCCTTGAAATTTAATAGCGGGTATTTAATACATTCTGGTGGATTAGGAATTCCCGTCTTAAGTATTTCTTTGAACCTATTAAGCGGGTAGGTATTATGCATATTGTTTACCACATTCATGCTAATTCACTGCAAGCAAAATGTGAGACCATCATCCAACATACAATTAAAATTTCGTTTCTTAGCTTAAAGTTAATTAACAATTTGAAAAAAATTATATAAATTCATACATATTTTTTCAAAGTAAAAGTTTTGAACTATAACTCTGAAATTTCATT